CGCAGATTTTGTCTTGTAAATGCTAACTGTTCTTCCTGCGGGATCCTGGTGAAAGTGGTAAAGAGAAAGCGCTCTTCTTTATTTATAGGGACATATTACGTAATAAAGCAGTGACAAAGTGGTTGGCACATCAACATCACAATTGCAATTTTTGTGCACATTGCGTTCACCTGCCGTTTCTTTGTCTTTGTGGGCAAGTGGGCGGGCACAGTTTTAGTCACTTGATTTTCAGATAGCTTGATATGATTGATAACCTTGTTTTTTAGTAATGTTCAAGCTTCGGTGGAGTACATCACAGGATGCCTGAGGACTTCACACTTACCTAGTTCGAAACAAAAACGTCTTGTCCCTGCTATCGTGGTAAAAGCTAATAAATGAATAAAAGATTAGTGTGGAAGTACCAAAGAACAAAATACGAGATATGAAATTAAAGTGCATACCAATGTAAGGATGAATTTTTAGTTAGGTTTGGCTCTATAAATCTGAACTTTGGTCATGGAAAAGAGCTGAAGTGCATTTTGCACTTAATTACTTATAAGTAACACCTTACCACATCCAGAAAAAATTGTATTACAAGTTCACACAGCTTGTTGGCAAGTGGGCCGGTACAGAATATACGGTACTTTCTGGAAGGGCAGACTGATCCAAAGGCTTACGGATTCGCAATGCTCTATTATGACAAACGACGTCTGTTTTACAATTTTTAGAACACTAATGATGAAATGATGGAACAACATGTCAAGTGTGTAGTAAAAGCAAAATGTCATTGATAACGCTTCAGAAAATTAATTAATTTGATAGCTAATTGAAAGACAGCAACCACAGCCCCCTTTGTGGATGAAGGTCATCATGTATAAGCGATCGGTTTGTCAGCGCATCGTATAAAAATGGGAAACGTTGCAGTAATCGCACTGTAAACATTTAATTATATATTTACAAGTGAGAATGATTAATTGTGATATTCAGGGAACAAGGTCTTTATATAATTTTCTGCGGTTGAAGAGACAGGCCATAACATAACATGCTTTTTCATGCTGTACCATGCAAGTAAAATTTTATTGATTTTTTTAAACCATGCACTTTTCATTTTACTTGTTTTAACGTTTCTCAGCTCACTTTTAACAAGATTTTCGTTGTTTGCAAACACTTATCTTTTAATTGTATAATGTCTTTAGGTCCAGAAAGCCAGCCAATGCAGTTAATATGCCAAAATTTCATTTTGGAGACCATCGCATTGAGATACTAAAG